CGCATTCTTAGGTTTATATTACTGGACTACAGCTCTCCATATGACATTTTACTAAGCAAAGTTGACATGAAATCTCTATTCATTAGACGCCTCCAGAACTTCATGATCACATTTAAATATAAGAGTCTGTTCTTTACGAATTATCAACGGCAGTTTATTTAAAAGATATGTTCACTCGTACGGTCTTCTTCCTACAATTTGCGCGGAAATCATATCCTGGCCCTTCCCAACCCAAAAACAACGACTTACGGTCTGCACTCTTTTTCATACTTAGCTAACAAAATATGGAACTCTCTCCCAGACACATACAAAACATTAAATTTTCTAGAATTCACGCAGGAGATCCTCAGATATGAAGCTTTTCCACAGCAGATCTGCAAGTTATATTTCCCTCTGCATGCATAATGTTGTATATAGTTTATAAATAATATTACAGCTACTCTGTAAATTTGGAGCATAAATAAGCATAAATAAAGTATGTATTTATGTATGTATATGAAAGTGGCTCGATACAGTTTTTCATGGTCAATACCTGCCAAGTTTGACCATAAACTACGTTGCTACAAACAATGCTTTTGGAAAAATTGCCACCACAGTTGTATTATTGAGATAAAGATGAAAATTTCTCATGATCAGGGTCGCAACGACATCGGAGTTGTCATAGCAACGAAATAACGCCATTACCTATTATACTTGCGGCAATATTTCTCACTGGGAACTGTTCTTGCAAAATCGTTCACGGGAACTTTTTCCTCCAATATTTTGGGATGAAGTTTTTATCGTGAGAAATACGGTAAAAAAAGGAAAATCTTGATTTTTGGCCGTTATTTGTAGAAAAAGAAGCGCTTTTGAAATGCAATTTCACCTCACGGTAGCTTCAATCCTTTTAAAAACGTGTATGAAAGATCATGGAGATAGTTCTGGCCAATTGCTACAAAGAAGGATTTGAATAGTCTGTATCATGGCGCTCTCGTTAGTGGTTTTATAAACATCTCGGTCTAGTTTAACAAATTAGTGAATAATTTTTAAACCGCTCGATAGATTCTTTTAAAAAACTAAGAGCTGATGCTATCTGCCATACACTGTTCTACGAGCGGAGATGATTCTAGAAAGTTTTGCGGACTGAGTTTTTTCTAGTCAATTCAGGACAGAAACTCATCACATGCCAGGCAACCACTGTCTCGTGTGAATGTAACTTGATTATTACGCCGACTTCAGGTTAAAATAGAAAATATATATCTCTTCAAAACAATAATAAAAAAAAAACATGGAAACGTCCCTTCTGAAAAACTGGCTTTGCCCAAATTTTCTCTTGCTGACCAAAAAATCTGAGTTGCCCAAAATTTGGGGGGGCCGCATTCCCCCTCGCCCCCCGGCCCGTACGTCTATGTGCTCCCTGGATCACCAAGGAACTTATTGCCTTGTGCAAAGAGGAAAGATCTTTGTACAAACCTCGCAGAAGTAACAAAACAACCATTTGGGAAAAACACCAACGAGTCAGTGAACAATTCTGTAAAGACACACTGCAAAACGGCTCGATGGGCATACATTGAAAGACTAGCCTCCGATCTGAAAAAAAAATGAAAACCCAAACCCTTCTGGAATTTTGTTAAGTACAAGAGAAGACGAACTAACAAGCTTGTTTTCTTAAAAATCGACATTGCTGTTGTGACAGACGACCTCTGTATTGCTCAGTGCATTAACTCCTACTTCCTCTGTGTGTTTTGGTACCCCAGATTGCGTTTCTGTCATGAAACTCGAAAATATCAATTGTAGCACTGATGAAGTAAGACGCCTCCTTCTGAAACTCAAGCCTAAAAAGTCCCCTGGACCTGACAATATCGCCTCTTGCGTTTTGGGAGAATGTGCATCGGAACAAGCACCTTTAATGGCGCATATTAAACAAATCATTCTCCTCCGATTTATTACCTAATTAATTGAAATGCGCTCAGTGATATCACACCATTACACAAGAAGGACTCTAAATCTCTCAGCGAAAATTACCGCCCAATCTCTCTCACATCTATTATTTGTGAAATCGGGGAAAAATTTGTTTTTGATTGGATGCATACGTTTTGGCAAGAAACTGGTCTGATGAATAACAATCAATTCGGTTTTCTGAAAGGAGGATCCACCGTCCAGTCAATGAATGACTGGGCTAAATCGTGTGATTTCTCTCGCCCAACGGAGGTGGTTTTCCTTGACCTGGCCAAGCTATGCGAAAGTGTTGCTCACGAGCGCCTCCCGCTGTAGTTGAAAGGCAAGTGTATTGACGGCTGCTTGCATGCCTGGCTCAGGCACTTCCTGACAGGACGCAGGCAGCGCGTGAACTGAGGGGAACTACGTCTGATTGGTTGTGTCGTATGGACTTATGTATTTTCGTATTGCCTATAAATGCCTGCTTGGGACGAGCTGTTTAAAAGTTTCTAAAGTATCTTTGCCAGAAAGGTTCGGTTGAACGAATTATTATGTTTTGAGAATAAATCTAAATTTAAAAAAAAAAACACTGCAGTCAAAGAGAAACAAGTCACAACCAGTCAGTTAGAACCGGCTTTTCCCTGATTTGTTTTGATAGGTTGCATAAGTTTTGGATAGAAACTGGTCTGATAAATAACAACCAATTCGGTTTTCTGAAAGGAAGATCCACCGTAATGCCACTGGTGTTACCTCTGGTACGCCTCCAGGGACCATTCTCTGCCCATTATTGTTTTTGATCTATATCAATGGGATAACCAATTGTGTTTCATCGACTGTGAAACTTTGTGCTGACGATGCAAAGACCTATCGTCAAATGGTCGACCCTATTAAGGATCCTCAGCCTTTACAAATGGATCTGTCCAACCTTATGAAGTGGGGGCGCGAGTGGCAGTTACCGTTTAATGCGGACAAGTGTGAATCTATGCGCATGTCATACACGCATTAAGTCTGTTACGCAACATATGTTAGATAAGCCTTTGAAGGAGGTGAAGAGCCAACCTCGTTCCCAGGGTTCCCTCCTACCCGCCCTACGGAGCGAGAGAGGGTGGGTAGGAGAGAACCCTGGGAACGAGGTTGGTGAAGAGCTTCAAAGACCGAGGCGTTACGATATCGAAGGATCTCTCACAGGATAATCATATTAGCATAACTGTGAGCAAAGCTTAAAATCTATTAGGTTTAATCAAACGTTCTGTTGGCACCATCAACGCAAGCGTTTTTTTCCACGCTGTATTTATCTCTGGTATGACCAATTCTTGAATACGCTGTAACAGTACCCGTTTGGTGCCTTTACCTCGTCAGAGACATCCGCACCTTGAAGAGTATACAGAGAACGGCATATAGATTAGCACTTAATCAACACAAAGGAGAAATGCCTTATGTCGATCGTTGTAAATTGTTGAACTGGCCGTCGCTATCTGACCGTAGAAATTATCATTTTATCTTTAATTGAGTGAGTTCGTCTTTGGATACTATCATTTGAATTCTCAAAAGCTGGGTCAACAAGAGCCAATCCACCCCTTCAAATTGTATGTTAAAAGCGGAAGGCGCGATTGCCACAAATATGCTATTTTTATAGAAAGTTTCAAAATGGAGCGATTTACCATAGTACATAGTACATAGTACAGGCTGAAAGCCTTCATCATTTAAACATAAGCTTCATCGTTATCTATTTAATAAATTTTTAACTAGAACCGTGCTTTAATCAAGTCCTTTATTTTTGAATACTTGTATTGTATCTGATTTTTTGTTTAGCATTTTCTATTTCTGTTTGGGAGTTCTAATACAGGGCTAACCTCTCAACTCTCTTTTCAAGATGTCTTTTTAATACTATGTTTTTCCTGTAAATAAGCTTGTTTACATCTTGAATAAAGTTAGTACCGTAAAATTCCGAAAATACGCCCCTCCATGTATAAGCCCCTCCAAATATAAGCCCCACAAACTCGTAATGCAAAAAACCCTCCGTTAAATCGCTCCTCCAAATATAAGCGCCTTGGGGGCTTGTACTTGGAAATTGCTCTCAAATACAAAGTAAAATAAAGCAAAACCGGTAAATTCCTTCCAACTATAAGGCTATCCCAATCGATTTTGAAACGCAAATTTCTCTCCGTAGATAAGCCCCTCCGAATATAAGCCCCTCAAAAAGGGCCTTTGAAAAATATAAGCCCCGAGGCTTATTTTTCGGAATTTACGGTATGTTAGTATGTTGTGCAAATAGTTTGGGGGTAAGGAGGGGGGGCGGGGGGGTTGGGGCGAACGAAGATGAATTTTTGGGAATGAGAAAGTTGTCACTGGCTTTACCCGCCAGCAGCAAAAAGAAAAAAAAAATTGGCTCCCAACAATTAACAACGCCAAGTTGCCCGACTTTATTTCAGTACGGACTAGAAAATTGGCTGTCACGAAAATTACAATTAGAGCAATACGAAACGTTTTCCGTTTTTTTCTCACGGACAGACTAAAGGTGCGTTTATTATTTGCAAAACGCTTTGCTTATGATTCGTTTCGGCAAGTTTAACAGCCAAAAGTTTCAACCAGGCATTTCTCGAAAACGCTCGTATAAAAATGGTTTACAATCTGTGAAGCTAAACATAGTTACATGACGTGCAAATCTTGTAACAACTTCAAAAAAGAATGTCTAGCTTCCATCACAAATGGAGGAAATATAAAAATTAATGGCAATGGTGTCTCCACGTGACCATGGCTGCGTCGATCTCGATAAATATAATTTTTAGGAACCTCTAATCGCCCTTTCCATGGCATACAATTAAGTGCAGTTCCGTCGATTTCCTGCTTCAGTTGTTCTTAGCCTGAGAGCAAGCTTACCAATATGTGGCGAGTGAAGCGTGCCGCTAGAGAGCTCGCGTCTTCTGTCGTGTTCGGCTCTCGAGTGAATTCTCGCGACTCCCCTAAATGGAGAGCTTGCTCGCAGGCTGTGTTTGAGTCATGTTCACATTTCGTGTTCAAAGACGGTAGGGTGTCCGGCTGGGAAGGTGGAGATCTTGTGACTCTTGACTGATTTTGTTTTG